TATTCTCAACTTGCAACATGGGATCAGGTATATCATTATTCCCCAACTGTGGCAAATTACAGATGTGTGAGCTTCAACTCTTGAAATTCCTAGCAATGACCATGGTGGCTGTGAAACTGTGGTAGTTAGTCTACACATCTGGAAGTTGTTTCTGAGTCACATATGTAATCACTTCTTTCTTCTATGTAAAGTTACAAGATCCAAAAAAGGACAAAGATTCTACATTTTAATGGTTGCATGCGAGAAGGAATGACGGAATATTAGCTTGCCATGTGTGGATCCCAAGAAAATGACTCTGCTGGTTCTCTGTATTAAAGCTGATAATCTCTGAGCATGTTTACATCTGATTTTTTCTTAAACATGAACAGAATAGAAGGCCCTGTAATAGACCACAATCCGCCAGCTGAAGATCAATTAGTACTTCAACAAAAATGCTAATTTACTAAAGAATTTTTATGCTTTTCTATGCATAATCCACTTTAGATCACTTGCATAAAAAGACTAAGACATAAACCAATCAAACAAACTAACAAACAAAATTAAAGCTGTAGTATACATACGGGAAACCATACTGCATGAACTAGAGAAACAAGAATACATTCCTTTCTTTTTTAAAAAAAATCTCCACCAAATATTTCAGAATCATTCCACAGCCTTCTGATTTCTCTGTATTCTCTTTGTTCTCAGACTCTTTGTCAGAAAGTTTTTTCCTCAAGTCAAACATAGTTTTCTAGTAAGGCCTCAAGAAAACCGCAAACAAAAATAATGTCTCTTTTCCCAGCCTATGCCAGTAACATAAAAAGCCAGAACCATGGCATTTTTTGAGTGGCCACCACACGTTTTTTAGAGTATGCAATCACTTCAGAGAGGGAAATTCTAATACAATATATCTGAGTGGGAATAGGAAGGCACCCTCACCTTTAGGTACCTACGGTAGACCCGTACAGCTGTCTCCGGTAATGGATAGAGACGCACAAACTTCAGGTAAAGTGGCCAGATACGATGGTGCTGTGTGATGGGCAGAGCTCTGAGTGCCCGGTCAAAGGTCCTGCGGGTACGGGTAATGCGACATTGGTCCATGAGGAACTGGCAGTAATCTAACCATATCCGAGGCATCTGTAGGAAACATAAGATAGCAAGAATAAACAACCCCTTCATTGGATCAGACCAAAAGTCCACATAGTCTAGCAGTCTGATTCAAAGAGACAGAAGCCACAGATGATGGTAAAGGTGGTTTGTCTCCAGGGTCCAATGCCACAAGGATACCTTTGAATAGAAAGATTTCACTTATAATCTCATGTTGAAACAGCCTATATATTTTGCTTAATGACTGTCAACAGGCCATTTGTCCATTAATTTATCTCATTCTTTCTCCAAGTAGCCATTAAAGGAATTCTTTAATCTTACCACTATTCAGTTTTGCTAAGTGATCCCAAGCTCCATTCTTTTAAAGAGTATATTTTATCTCTATTCATTACCTCCAAGCAATCATAATCTTATAAACCTTTCAGTATTTTTCTAAACTAAGAAAAAAAACCCCTTTCTTAAGATACTCCACAATTGTTCAGGTTGCTTTTCACCAGCTGTAATATAGTCTTCTACAGATGGGCATCTGAAAAGACCATATGCAGTCTGAAGACAGACTGCTTTTAAGAGAACTGCAGATAGTGTAATGGAATTATCGCTGCCCTCAAAGAACAATGGGTATGCAAACTTTTTTTCCCTATTGTTGCCATTGGTCAAGAAGTTTTAGACGTTCTGGAGGCTTTTCAACAAATATCAAGATGAATGTACATATCAACTGAATGATATTTCTAATGTAAAACTTTCAACACTCCAAAATCTGGAGTGTTTCTCTATTGATGACTAAAATTGATTTTGCTTTTTCCTTAATATTTCCAAGAATATTTTACTATAGTGACAAACTCTGTTTCCTAAATAACTGTTTCCAGCTTAGATTCCCTCAGCGTAATTCAATAAAAGGCTTTCTTGTAAAAAATAAACACTTTTACACAGATATTTTCACAACTTCATTGGAATACTAGCAACTCAGGGATCCAGAGAGGCCTTTGCCATTTCCAGTCTTTGAGATACATAGATTTAATAAAAATGCAGAATGTGAAAACAAAATCAGAAAAGAAGAGGGGGTCATAATTTAAATAAATTTAAATATTTTAAATAAGAACATAAGCAGTTCTCTGCTGGATTGGATCTCTGGCCCATTTAGTCTAGCTGTTTGTTCTCACAGTGGCCAATCAACTGCACAAGGAAGCTCACTAGTCTCCCAGCAGATGCACACAGACGTTTACTGTACAATATATACAGAATGTACACCAACCTGCAAATCCCTAATTACTTCCCAGACCCCCACCACCAGCCACAACTCCTATCATCAGCCACACTATAACCTATGGGGCACTTTGCTATATACAGTGGTTTGTGCTGTGTCATGCTGCCATACCCTACAGGTGTGTGCTCTGGGGGGGTTGTGGGGATTGCAAACACAGTCAAGCTGTGCTCTGTCCATATTCTCACTGAGAAATTCTTTACTCTAGGGTAATACCCTGACAGGCTAATAGCCATTGATCCCCATGATTTTAATGAATTGCTCCAACCCTTTTCTAAAGCCAGCCAAGCTGGTAGCCAGCACCACTTCTCGAGATAGTGAATTACAAGTTGTTTCAAAAAAATTTCCTTTTATTTGACTTGATTCTTCCAGGATTCAATTTCATTGGATGACCTCTGGTTCTAGTATTTTGGGAAGGGGAAAATAGCTTCTCCTTGTCTACTTTATCTACACCATGCATAATTTTATACCTCAATCATGTTCCCTCTCATTCTCCTACTTTCTAGACTAAAAAGTCCCAAATATCACAATCTTTTTTCCTACAGAAGCTGCTCCAGCCCCTTAATAATCTTAGTTGCCTTCCTTTTGAATTAGAAAAAATAATTAGCAAGTCAAATTGAGCCCCCTTGAGCTTAAGGCATAGACCAAATGTTTTCTCCACCCACATCTTCTGTTCCTCTCAGGCTCTACCAACTCTTTAAGCTTGCCAGCTAGCACTGTACCTTATGCATGAAGACCAGGGCACGCTCATGGCAGTTGTTCACCTCTTCATAGCTGGGATCTGTTACACATTTGCTCTTCACTTGTTTCCGTCGCTGCTTAAGATAGTTATACCAGAGCTTGTAGCTGCAAGACACAACAGAAGGGACCATCAGCACCAAAGTAAAGGATTTTGATCTTTTCCAATTCTGATTGGCAGTGAACTTTGAATATTACTGACCTCTTTATTTTGCTAAAACCTAAGGTTGCAAATAAACGTATGTATGTAACTAACTTCTTTCGGCAGAGATAAATTTGGTCAAAAAGGGAGGAGGGCAGAAGGGACATCAAAGTTACTGACTTTTCAGTAGCTTCTATGAAAAACTGGGTGTGAAAAAATAATTTTAGTATTTGCACAAATGCAATTCGTCAAAACACTCATAACTAATGAAAGAAATATAATTATATACCTTCCTGGCAATTCCTTAAGAGCTCTCTCATAGATCAGGTTCAGAACATGCTTGGGAGCATTCTGCTTGAACTCAATGTAGCGGATCCAGCACTTGACAGAGAATGGGTTGCGCAAGATCTCTTCCTCATACTGTAGGTCTTCCTCCTCCTGTGTGGGGAGGTAATGTAAGTTTAGACAAAAAGTACTATTTTATTTCACTGAACAGCCCTACAACTTCAATATCTCAACAATACCTCTTTCAGGTTATTTCCATATGATAGTTTCATAGCATTATGTATAATAAAAACATGCAATAGGAGGCCAAAAAAATCACTAAATGCTCATCCTAACATCAATTTCATTAAATAACCATTGGCATATCTTTGTAACTCTCTTGTTATCCCTATCCACACTACTGGTTATATGGGAATAATCATAGTGACTTATTTTATAGGATTATGTTACTAAACGTTGAAATAAATATTTTAAGAGACTTGGAAATACTATTATTCTACACCTAATTGAAGTACTAGATAATGTTGTGGTCTCTCCTGCCTACCCCACAAAGGCAGAGAGAGATGGCAATTATATTTATCTATAAGGTGCTTTCAAAAGCAGTATAACATTATGTGATTTTCATCCTTTAATCATATACTGCTCAAAGGAAACTTGCTATACAAGCCGTTTTAGTTTGCCTATATATTTTCCAAAGTGGATTACCCTAAAAGATATAACGCAGACAGTAGCTTCAGTAAGCCACGAATTCCCGTCTGATCTTTTTCAGAGCAACTTTCGTCCCTTTCATCGCAACGATGGGTCTGCGATTCAGAGTTGATAATTAAAAAGCATTAGCTGTTACTTTTCCCCACGAGCAAGGGCTCCCCTTGGTATATTCACAATGCTGCAAAACCGATCCACTGTAACTACGCTGTTTTTCC